CCAACTATACTACAGCAAAATTATCATTTGGGCAGCTTAGTAAAATTTATAATTCTGGCTTATTCTAAATTTTGGTCGATCTGCTGAATTTTGGTTGCACTACAAATCTAACCGTATTTAGTTATCAAAAACAGCACATAACTAGAATTAAGCCCTAAAATTAGATATTCATACATATAACCCTAGTTAGGTGCTGCTTTAGATATAAAATACATATTATTTACTAGGAAACGAAAACTGTTATAAGTTCAAAGTGAGATTTTTATATTACACAATATGCAATAGCAACAGACAGAAAAGTCAGTTACCGTAAACTGCTGTATAAAAGACTCCAGTCGTGCGAAATTTTTTAGGTGGTAACGCTAGGACAATTCATCAGACCAACAGGAGCGACCGTCAAGTTACATGAATTGTAGATCGCTTCCGAAATTCACCAACCAATCAAAAATTAGAATCATGTGCTAATAAGCCAATCAAAATTGCGACTTTCAAGAATGAAATCGAACGAGATTTTGATTATCGCTGTTTTCGAAATAATTGAAAATAGAAATAATTTTTTTTTTTAGCGTACACTCGTACACTCATACACTCGTATACTCGATTGCCTTAGCACGTTGATTGAAGATCGATGTGTAATTGTTCAGTATACGAGTGTACGCTAATTATTTGCCATTTTCAACCATTTCGAAAACAGCGATAAATTTATTAAAATTTATATTTTAACTTCAAAATAGATAATTTAAATATAAACATGCTAGACGCATGTGATTTTATGCATCCAATTATCTAATTGACTATTAATCATTGTTGATCCCATATTCAAATCTATATCTAACTTAAAATTTAAATTTCTCATTTATAATTCAACTTTTATTTTACTAGAATATATAAACGTATATTTGTATATTCTAACGAATATATCCAGCTCAAATTTAAAGCATCTATGTGCATGTTTCTTGTAATATTCTAAAAATTGTACAATAAAAAAAAATTAGTAAACCGTTATTACGTATTAATTATATACTTATTTAAAAATTACTACTAAACATGATAAAAAGTATTATGCCAACACTACAAAGATCTATACTGTGACCTTTATAAATCGTTGCTTTTGACTTTTTTTTTTTTGGTTAGCGGACTGAATTTTGGCGATCTGGTGGTTTAACATTCACTCAACACTAATTCCTCGTGTTAACTTTGCTAGGTAAAATGTAATATAAAAGCTGTGGAATTCAAAGGGATTCAACTGATATTATTAAAATATAATACGAAAATTTAAAAGTTTGCTTACTATATTTTGTATTTCATTGCAAAAATGGTCCTCAAAAATTTTTTTAATCAACTGTGATTGGCTGACATCATGTGACATCAATTTTGATTGGTTGGGAAGATTTCGGAAGCAATCTGCAATTCGTGTAACCTTGACCAGGGTTGTGAATAGACATAGTTAAATTAAAAAAATTATTGTCTAATTGTCTAATTGTCTATAATTTTTTTATATATTAGCAGGATGATGATAACCAATCAAATTGTTTTAAATTATATAGTAATTTGTCTATTGTCTAATGACTTAATGACTTAATTAGACACCATTGGACCATTAGACTGTCTATTGAGTCTATTGACTTGTCTATTGTCTATTCACAACCCTGCCTTGACGGTGGTCTATAATATAGGATAAAATCTAAAAGACCCGGGGTATACAAATAGGATTAAGTACTAATGAACAGTAATTCAACTATCATTAACCCTCCCAATTATTAGACCCGTACCCATACAAGAGACCCATGGGTCTAGTAATAGGTTTTAAAATTGGTGAAATGTACTAGACCCGGGTCCTTTATGCGGCCCTCTTTGATATTTTTATTAAAAATGCATCAAAAACGAAATTTTTATCACTTTGCGTAGAAATTAAGAGTTCTCTTCTCACATAATATCCGATGGTAAGATAGGGTGATTATAAAGTTGGGCCACCTATGTGTAAGGATGAACATATGCCACATGGCTTTCAGAAATATCCTGAATAGAAAACGAATACGTAGACGTAAATCATCGAAATGATGTAGCAGATACTATTTTTGCTACTTTGTTCAAAAATAGCTTAAGTCATTTATAATTACATTGGAAACTGATAAATTGATGGATTTGCACGTAAGTGCTTGATAGACTACAATCTTACAACGAAAGAAATGGCTTAAAAAATATTGAATCAAATTTTATATTACTGTTAACCCCTGTAATTTAGCATCATGTGATATGCGATAATAATGCAATACTAATGCCAAGAGTGCTAAGTAGTGCTGGATAGTACTAACTATCGCTAAATAGCACAGATAATACCACTAGTTGATGGCATTTGTTGTATTAGTAGCACTAAATAGTACTAAGAAGTGCTAAATAGTGCTAAATAGCACTAAATAGCGCTAAAGGGTGTATTAATAGAAATAATTGCAAAAGACTATAACGATCAAATGTATAAATAACCCCACTTATCGCTCTTGTAAAAGGACAATTGGATAACTCAATAATAAAGGAGTAGCCGTGTCTTCATACACGAACAACTCAAATACTTTATTAAATAAAACTAACAATCCCCTAAAGAGTAATCGTGTCTTCAACTCGAATAAATAGTAGATCAGTTTAGTGTGAATAACTCGAGTAATTTATAAAATAAACCGTAAACTTGTTATACGACTACTTGTATCTTCATATACATTTAGCCGTTTGCCTCTTTCGTAACTACAAATCACCATAATCCTCTAAATGCGTAACTGCAATAAACCCTATATTTTACTTAAGCATAAATCGGCATTCGTTATCAATCGTCTAATATATCAGTCGCTAAAGTAAACCGTTATACCGAACTTCTAAGATGTAGTTTCTAGTGTAACAATTACGTAGTCCAAAAATTGGATATGTCATGTGCTAAGAATTCATTAAACTTATAGTGAAAAGTCTAAGAACTTTCTTTTATACCTCGTAGTTAATAAAGACTTTACGTTTCGTTTCTTAAATGTACACACTTCAAAAATCCAACGATTTTGATTAAGCATCCAATGTCCAAATTGATTATATTTAGTGTTTCGGGCTAGACTACTTTCAAAGTTAGAAATTTTCATCAATATGATATGATTTTGCCGGAACGAAATAATTTCTGTTAAGCCCACAAAACATATAGTAATTTTGCACTTCTTAAGTCCGAAATATTTCGCCAGTGTGAAATAAAGTCCGAGTGAAATAGATCTTAAATTATTATTAATTTCGACCAAACAAATTTATGGATTGTTTAGGATATAATAGTGTCCAAAACCTAGTGTCCAAGAATCATGGATTGAAGTTCAACCAAAGGTGTCCAAACACCAATTTCACCAACTGGGTATGCTTATTGATTAATAGCACAAATCATGATTACTAAAATTTTCTTGTCAAATTTCGTGCGAGTCATGATGTCATTCGCGCAACAGCGTAAAATCGCGGATGAAACATTAGTTAGATGATAATGAGATTTGCAACAAAAAATAATAGTAAATCTATTTCGGTTTAATACAGGAACCCCCCTACCATGAATTAGATTCGGTTCTATAATATTAATCATGATATTTGTGGAATGGAATGTAGGAGACTGGGAATATGCAACATATTTGTTTGCCAATTTTTACATTTAATTTTTGGTAAAGTTTTTACTGTATTTGTGCGAAATAACGCCAGCGGGCACATAATAGTTGATTTAGCTGAAGAATTTTAATAAAAAGAATTACGTATGATTCGCACTCGGATAAATTAATTATAAGCACTCTTTAAACTATTTGTCCCGAAATAACGCCCAATAACACCTATGGGCGCAATTATGGTACTTAATCAATGGATGTGTATAAAACCTTTTTTTGTTCGTCATGGCTACATTCAATCTTGTGAATTGAAGAATCTATTAACAAATAGATAATTCATTACTTCCGAGCTTATTGGTTTCAATTTTCAGACTCTGACATTTCACCAATATTAAGCAGACCATCCTAACATACGTATCATTGATTTCATGACAAACTTTGCCAGTTTTTATTTCGAATGGCAAACACATTTATTTTCCGTTCTTTCACATTGTATTGTCGCGAAATAACGCTCAGTGCGTTATTTAAGGCATATAATTTTCGGAGAGTTGAGAATTATTTTTTGATAAATTTTCGTCTAAATTGTCACGGCTGATGCTGGAAATAAGAGATTTCGATTAATATAAACCACCTAAATAAAATAATTTTTATGTGGTGTGACATAATAAAATGTTATGATGTATTTTAATCTTTTTTTTTTTTTTAATCAGTTTTTTTTTATCAGTGTTTAGATTAATGTCTGTATCAGATTAAAATAATTATAACTCCGCTAATACTTATCCTAATTCATTCTTCCACCTAACTCTAATGAAATTCCGAATTTATTCTAACGCACAACGAATTTAACAATTTAAACTCAATTATTTTTATGCGTGATAGTAATCAAAAAATAAATCAATTTTCATCATTCGACTAATAAAATTTGTAATCAATCGATTTATAGCAGACAATTTCCAAAATCGTTTAAATTATATAAAAATATGTATACCCCCATCATAGTAATAAATCATATAATCAATATTAAAACCCGTTCTTGAATGATATCTGTCTATATACATCAGTATAAACATCGTTCGCATAAAAGCTACTAAATATTACTTCCATTTATTATTCATAAATTCTGCATTTAACTATTCACAATATTTCGATATATATATAAATATATATATCTAACTAGCGTTAACGAATTTACAAGACTTTCCATTGATCAAGTAAAAAAAAGGATTGACTTTAAAACATCAAAGGTTGATAATGCAACTTATCTCTTATATATATCATCTAGAATAAATGAATAAATAAATAAAAGTTTCACAGATAACGTATGCAATATATAATATAATCTGGTTAACATACCAAAGTAAGTCCAAAATTGAAACTATGACCTTGTTAAAATTAGGAACTTGTTAATTCCTTGGTTTTCTTTGTTTTCTTAACAGGAGTCTTTTTTTGACTTTTTTCAATCGATTTCTTTTGCCTTTTTGGTGGAGAGGTTGACTCAATACGTGTACTCAATTTAGCCATGTTTCTTTTAGTAGGTGCAATACCCGGAGAAATTTCTTGTGATTTTTCTAATTCTGATCCAGATTCAATGATTTCCATTCTATCATTTAACTTTTTGAAAACACGAGCTGTGGTGCGGGCTGTTAAGTGCGGCATCATTAAATAAAAGCGACCTGCAATATCTTCAAGATCTATAGTATATTCTTCAGCAATGTCATGAGACTATATGTGAATGATGATTAAATGATGTCAGATTTACTGATCAAATAAGAATATATATATATATATAAGAAATTTTTGATCCATTTCAACTTACTATCCACCATTTATAATCTTCTAATTTTACTGGACCAGTTTTATTTAAAAGTTCTCCACGCTGTAGAATGTTGCCTGTGAATTGCATTCCTTTCTCTGGATGTCGATAAATTGTTCTGATTTCGAGAAATTCTGGGTATTCAGGCTCGGCGTCAAGGTCCATAGAATTTTCAGGTACTAATCGTACGAGATCACCTGGTCTAATCATTTCAGCACCATACATAAAAGCCTCATAGTGTGGATATTTTTCCATGTCAATGAGCCTTTGTCTTTCATCTGGATCTTGAACTGATTTCAGACGCGCATTATTTTCCACGTACTTGAACATTTTCATTGGTGAATATGTTTGCGCTGCTTCGTTAGCACGGTGTACCGCCCGGACGTAATTTTGAATATTTATGTCAACTTCAGGTTCCACTTGTTCGTTCAAGTCACCTAATTTTAGTAATTATTATAGTTAAATTATATCAGTATCAAAAATTGAATTTGTCAATTTCTTACTTTCTTTTATTTTTTATTTTTTTTTTAAAAAAAAAATACATACTTCCTATTACACTTTCA